TTTTTTTTTTTTTTGTTCAGAATAAAAGAGAACACAACTACAGTAATTATTCCCTGAATTATTAAATGCAGGGGTATATTTTCAGCACTTTCCTCAGCAGTAACTAGTGGATCGTGTTTTAAGATGTACAAAGGTAACTGTCTCTGCTCTGCAAAGGTAACAGACTCGGGTGTACATTGAAATTTTGTACCTCGTCATTTTATTTGTCCCTTTTTTACAAGCTAAACTTTGTCATTAGGAATATTTGATTTTTCAAACTTGGTCCAATCCAGTTAACTTTAGACAGTTAGAATTTGTACAAGTAATTGTTGCAAATGGCATAAAAAGCACACTTGAGTCTTATGTTTAATGTTCCATTCAAAGTGGATTTTTCTTTGTGAAGAGTATAGAATAATTTAGAAACCCTCCTACCTTTACTGCAGGTCTCTTAGTGTTCATCGGCACACTGCTCCTAGCAAATGCTTCTGTCGATGCATCTCGTATCCTGCATTCAAAACTGCTTAACAACATCCTGCGAGTTCCCATGGTTTTCTTTGACACCACACCTATTGGAAGAGTGGTCAACCGCTTTGCAAAGGTAGCATTTGTATTTCACTTTTTAATCATTCCTTTTCTAGATTTCATTATTTTCTCATCCTGTGGCTTTTATGTTTACAAGTACAAGATGCAATTATTTTTTAATTCCATTTTTCAAAATTTATAGAAGTGGAATGTTCCCCAGTTCTGCTTAAACCTTTGCATACAGTCCTTCCCAAATGCCTCCTCAAGTATACACAAATGTACCCTGGTCTGTCTGGAATTGGTACAGGTGTTAGTAGAAACTAGAGTAAAAAAAAAAATCAGGATTAGATCATTTTAATGTATTCTGAGTAGCTTGAAAGCAGTGTTATGAGTCATAGTTCAGTTTATATAACAGGGTTTATATCTAACCCGTCTAACAAAAACCAAAGGTCTTGTGTTCTTATCTTGTTTTACCCACCCGCTATAAATCGCCATGATGCAGCTCCAGTTGTAAAAACACTTTCATGCTGTGAAAACTTATTTTAAACTCTTTTACAAAACCTTTGCTTTTAGGACGTCATCCTCTCATCTAGCTCTAGAACCTTCTCTCTTCCAGTGTGCTGAGTAGTCTTTGACCAGTTTGATCTTACTATATTCTATTTATCAACAAAAATTTTAATTAGCTTTTGATATATATTTATATACCAACTTTGCCTCAAATTTCAAAGTACACAAAAAAGTTGGTGGATAAACCATTAAAAAAACACAAAAAACACCTCCTTTTATTGACATTTGCACCAAGTTCCTCATTTCAGCAGGTATTGTGTTTTATTGTGTTATTTAACACTTTTTTTGCTCTTATAATTTCACCATTTTTAATATTACTTTTGATTTTTTTACATGCACTTTATTGATAAAAATGTACTTGACTTGTGTTTTAATAAATACTAACTTTCCAACTATTATCCTAAAGGATATTTTTACTATAGATGAGGCCATTCCTAATTCCTTCCGCTCCTGGCTCCTCTGTTTTCTGGGTGTACTGGGGACACTATTTGTCATCTGCCTGGCAACCCCTTTCTTTGCCATAGTCATCATTCCTTTGGCAGTGATCTACTTCTTTGTACAGGTAAGCCGAAAGAAGAAGAAGATTTGCCTAACTAACTAAGAATAGGAAACTAATGTTGTTTTGTCTTTTTCTCTACACCCAGCGCATTTATGTCGCCACTTCAAGACAGCTGCGGCGACTGGACTCGGTGTCTCGCTCACCGATATACTCTCACTTTGGTGAGACGGTGTCCGGCCTGTCAGTGATAAGAGCCTACAGGCATCAAGAAAGGTTTCTTAAACACAATGAAGTAACTATAGATGAAAACCTCAAAAGCGTCTACCCGTGGATTGTGTCTAACAGGTCAGATATTCAACGGTGTACCTGCAAACATAGAGAAGCATGTGATGTAAATTGCTCATAAAACTGACCCTAACATTTCACTGTTAGACATTTCACTCACTTGTTTACTCAACAGATGGCTGGCCATACGTCTGGAGTTTGTTGGAAACCTGGTGGTTTTTTTTTCTGCTCTGTTTGCTGTCATTTCCAGAGATTCTATTGACAGTGGCCTGGTTGGCTTGTCTATATCATATGCCCTTAATGTGAGCCATTAAAACACTCATACCTTTATCATTATTTCATCACTGTTTATGTATTTGGTAATACTAAAATCCAGCAATAATGTAAACACTGACGTCTATTCTACACTGTTCTGCAGGTAACCCAGACCCTCAACTGGTTGGTTAGGATGACCTCAGAGCTGGAGACCAATATTGTAGCTGTGGAGAGAGTGAGTGAATATACTGAGCTTGAGAATGAGGTATGTAGAAGATTTTTAATGACAATTCTCTTTATTAGATGAAACTCTACTGTTATCTTAATAAGGCATGAATTTCAAGATTCCTTCAGGTTGTTAGTTGATTGTAAGCACCACAATGCAACTGGGATAAAAACATAATAATAATAATAATACAATTTAGTACAATATCGTACACGTACACTGGGCTTTAGCTGCTGATCTTGAGTAGTGACACATTGTTACCTTCGCCAAAGAGGTTATGTGTTTTTGTAGCATTTACATGCTTGCCGTTCTGTCTGTAAACATGACAGCTGGGAAGTTTTGACTGAATTTTGATTAAACTTTGTTGTTTGAGTTTACAGTGGGATCATGTTAACAATCCACTCAAATATGGCTTACGGCCACCAGGGTCTTCAAGGACAACTCAATGATTTATTGGTTGAAAATGGACAAAAAGCCTTAGAATCTTTGGTGTATGTGGTCAACATATAATACTACCATATAAACACCACAGCTACTGCCATTGATTGTGCTGACAACATTTAGATATATAGGGAATGAATAATGGGGACTCTAAATATCAAGTTACTCTGGATCTCTTCTTCAAGGTCAAATAATGACAATCTTTTAATAGGTCAGACTTATATAACATGCCATATATATTTAAATAAACTATGTTAGAAATTTGACTTTGTTTGTATTGGCAACATTTGTTTTATTATGACATTCTTATGTACATTACAATAACAGGTTATAAGTGTTTAAATACGTAGCAATTCAAATACAACTATAATGTTGAAATTTTGTTGCTTAATGCATGTTTATGTAGGTTTTGATATTACTATAATATCTTTGTATGTATATGTGAGTGCTTCAATTTAAGAAAAGATATATTCTAGTGGTTATCTTAGCTAGTCTTGATAACGTCTGTATAATAATGCAGACGTTATCAAGACTAGCTAAGATTCATTTATTCTGTTTGTGTTTGTTGTTACAGGCTGACTGGGTAACTGACACTCGGCCCCCACAGCAGTGGCCAGAGGCAGGAAGAGTGAAATTTGAGAACTACAAAGTGCGTTACAGACCCGAATTGGATTTAGTGCTGCATGGAATCACTTGTGACATCGACAGCACTGAGAAGGTACGTGTTTGTGTTTGTGTGTATCTGAAAGAGAGACAAAGTGAAAGAGAGAGAGCATGCATGTATAAAGTTCATGCGGGATTTATTAATATGTTAATGATTTACAGAGTAACCTCGTAGATCAAATAGATCAAGATATAGAAAACAATATCTAATATGTTTTTCACACGAGATACAGATTCAAATACTATAAAAATTCTTGTTTTTTGCATGGAGGTTGCTTAAATTATAGCTTGGTTTTTTTCCTCTATCACTAGCTTCTAAAATAATAGCGGTTTCTCAAGTGTAGCTTACAGATGGTAGACTTTAAGTTTATTTTTAGTTGAGTTTAGAAAAAAAAATTTGTATTTTAATGTAACTTTGTCCTATAAAGCACTGACATTCTGTACTTTAGTTTTTTTGATGTTTTACAGTCCAGTCTGTTAATTGTTTACTCAAAAAAAAGAAAAAAGCCACAGAACAAACAGTAATGACAATAATTGATTTTAAACAAACAGTAAAAAATAATGTAAACTGTCAGCTTGTGTCTTTAGTTGTACATCACTCTATACTATAAACAACTGTGATATCCAAATATGTAACTAGCCTAGCTTTAGGATAAAATGTCAAATGACATACTGATAATGTGAAGTGAACACAATGTGAACACCCTGAATACAGTGAAGTCAAAGTACACATTAGAAAAGAGAGTCTGTATTGCAACAACATATAAAAGAACAAGATATAGCTCCTTATGTTGTGGAATTATCTACAGTCAGCATTGTTTAATGCCTTTTCTTTACCTGTTGTGACAACAGTTTATGAAAACTTTTTTCAAATATGTGCCAGCTGTTATTTTGATCTTATGTGTTTTCTCTCACTGCATTCAGATCGGTATTGTCGGTCGCACAGGAGCTGGGAAATCAAGTCTTACCAACTGCCTGTTTAGAATTATTGAAGCTGCTGAAGGTCGCATCCGCATTGATGATGTAGATATCGCTACAATAGGCCTGCATGACCTGAGAAACAGACTCACGATTATACCACAGGTATACACATCAATATAGATAATAACCTTGTCAAAGAATTAAGTATATTATTAAAAAAATACACTGACATTTTTAATCCCGTGTGCACAGGATCCCGTTTTGTTCTCGGGGTCACTGAGGATGAACCTGGATCCATTTGACAAGTTCAGCGATGAGGAGATTTGGAGAGCGCTGGAGCTCTCTCATCTAAAGAGCTATGTATCAGGGCTGCAGGAAGGATTACAGCATGAAGTGGCAGAGGGAGGAGAAAACCTCAGGTGGGTAATAAAATTAACAATACGGCCTCTGTGGTCATTTGAAAATGATGATGACTTCAAACTCAAACCTAGGGAATGTTGGCACATAAGCTGCAAAATTCTTTAGATGTATACCTTTTCCACACTTCATTAGTCTAAACCTAATGCAATTTTCAAAAAAACATGCATGCATAAACTTTCATATACACATGAGTTCCTTGTGTGCTTTTTGCATAAACCCTCTTGAGATATCAATACTTTAATACAATCTTTCCAGTGTTGGGCAGAGGCAGCTGCTGTGTCTGGCTCGAGCTCTCCTGAGAAAGTCACGTATCCTAATTCTGGATGAAGCCACGGCAGCTGTTGACCTGGAGACAGACAACCTGATTCAGAACACCATCCGCAAAGAGTTCTCAGACTGCACAGTGCTTACCATCGCCCACCGCCTGCACAGTATCATGGACAGCTCTAGGTGAGTTATACCTTTTCCCTTAACATTTTTGGATGAAATTTTTGGAATTCATGACAATGTTTTTTCTCAGTGGGCTACTATTAAATCCTGTGCTTCTTTCCAACAGGGTAATGGTGCTTGATGCTGGAAAAGTAGTGGAATTTGATTCGCCGAGCAACCTGCTTGAAAAGGAAGGTCATTTCTATGCCATGGCAAAAGATGCTGGGATAACATTAGAAAGCAACACAAATTTATAATCTCTACTTATACTGTTTTTTTTAGGGAAGATTTACGGCCACAATTTTCTGTGTATGTGTTTTATTTGTAGGTTACATTGTGAAGACTGGATTTTACGTTTATGTAAAGAAACACTGACATATGTATTGTATTTATAGGGAAAAACAGGGAAAACATATTGTATATGTAACACATTTTATGTGTGAAAAATAAAATTTATTTCTGAAATCATGTTTAACTGGTTTTAAATAAAAAAAAACACTCTTTTTTTGACACAATGTTATCAGTTTATGATTGTGCACTTATTTGTATTTTTATATGACAGCAACATGCAAACATCTTGCCTGTGTAAGATCAGGTTCCCACAAACATGTGTATATCCAGGAACTAAAAAAATCAAATAATGAAATCAATTAATACTGATCAGGCCTCTGCATCCATTTACATCCATCTATTAAAACTGGCTTTGGAATGGATAAAACAGGCTAATATTAGGCTTCGGGAATGGTCTTCCCAACCCTAACCTCAACCTTACTGAAAATTTGTGGATTACACTTAAAACCGGGTCTATGCTAGGAAACTCACCCATTTAAACTCTACCAATTCTGTCCAGAAGATGGTCAAATATCCAGCCATAATTACTCCAGAATCTTGTTGACAGCAACCAAAAATGTCACTCTGAGGTGTAACTTACAAAGGGACGTTTGACCAAATATTAGTAGACATGTACTCTGTATGTGTGCTGTACAATCATTCCATCCTGGAAAACGATGACTTCAAAGAAATCATTAAAAGACAAAAAGTCTGTTAGGGGAAAAGTCTTACATAACTGAGACTTATGAGACTGAAGAATTAAGGTAAATTCAAACAAACATATCAGACTAGTAACATACAAAGTAATTTGTCTGGAAGGTATGTTGAGAATGACAGCAAACAGACATAATAGCAGCTCATAATACCATGTCAGGGACATGTTGATGTTGAAGTTGGTATTGAAGTTTGTGGTGTTTTTTTTGAAAGATTACAATGACATTCATATCAATGATGAGTTTATGTATGTTTTTCACCACAACTGTATGTGTACTTATGACAAAGTGGAACTAGAGTACTTTTCAAAACCTTACTGTTTTAAAATATTTATGTAGAAAATAACAGGAAAGGGGATCTAATGACCCCACTCCCTCCAAATCCCTAAATGCTCCCTCCCCTTGCCTCTTTCAGTAAGTTTTCCCTCTAACACAGTAAAAAGTGTGTTAGGGGGAAAAGTCTTACATAACTGAGACTTATGCAAGTCCTTCACTTTTTTTTTTCCTCTCTCAGGAGCTTATTTGCGCAAATTACAAAGCTTGATTCTGTAAATGATTTTGCTTTATCGGTTGAATGTTTTCACTGACTCACTAGAAAGCCTGTAGTGTACTTTTTGTAGAAACCAGG